AGGAATCATCAACTGACAGCTGACAGGACTGACCTGTCCTCTCATATCTGGAGCGACAGGAAGGGTGGGCCAGACGTAAGAGTAAACTGCAAAATACACCATCCAAATCATTATGCTTCCCCAAATTGCCACATGAGTAAACTGCAGAAAGAAGGTATTACAGAAACACTTCAGACTTGGTCTATGAAAACAAAAAAAATTGTTTATCTCTTACCAACTAACAAAACACATAAGTCAGGCCATATGTTCTTATGAAAAGATACTAAGTTTTTAATTCCTTGAAAATGGAGACTTCCTTTCTAATATCCTTCTCAGAATATCTGAATTAAAGGAACGATCGCTCAAAGGTCTCAATCAAAAGCACCTTGATCACCTCCAGCCAAGTGTCCTTCTGTGTCTTCAGTGAAAATAGTCGACTCTCTGTCAGAAGGGATTCACACAAATTTTGGATTGTGTTACGAGATAATCTGCTTTTTGTACTTATTAATACAAAGCTTTCTTCAGGATAAAAAAAATGAACATAAATCATTAAGAGGGCTAAGAAATTAATTCTATCATGAGTGTTCTGTGAAAATAGTTGTGGGTTAATGACAGAAGTTCTGATTCTTAGACTAGTTGAAACTGTAGGATTATCTACGTATCAACTATATATGCAATCCTAGTAGTCACTGTGGGCTGGAAAATCCCTGCCCATGTCTCAGTGTTGGAACTTGGGATACATTTTATACTGGTAAATATGAAGGAGACTGGACCCTTCTGTTCAATGTGAGCTATTGCTTTGTATACTTTGTCAGCAGAGTAAGGGAAATGACTAGGAGACCTACATTCTAAACTTGACTGCTGGCCTCTAATTTATTATCTATATACAATGAGGTGACTGTCTTGTTAGTTGTCAATGGTGACTCATGGTGACCCTATATGTTACAGAGTAGAAGTGAGTTCCATAAGGTTTACTTGGCTGTAATCTTAGTAGAATCAGATCACCAGGACTTTCCTTCCGTGGTCCCACTGGGTGGGTTAGAACTACCAACCTGTAGGTTAGCAGTTGAGTGCAAACTGTTTACGCTACCCGGCTACAGTAGGTGATTTCTTAAGAGGGAAATGCTCTTATTCTATCAGATACTGTTCATTACTTAATCACGTCTGCACAAACAAAAATGAGAAAAAATATTCTACTATTTCTCTAGAGTATTTGTTGGTATCTGTTTATTGGCCATGTATTCATTTAAATTATTGATAATTTCATTTTAAAAGACTTAACATTCTGCCTGATTCACTAGAAGTTCCACTTCTAATAATATTCTAAGAAAATTATTACCTATACCTGTAAAAATGCAAAAAAACCCCAACAAAACCAAACCAAAAACACTGCCTTCAAGTTGATTCCAATTCCCAGAAACCCCCATTGGGTTTCAAGGCTGTAAATCTTTACAGAATTAGAATGCCTCATGTTCTTCCTGCAGAGCAGCTGGTGGGTTTGAACCACCAACCTTTTGGTTAGCAGCCAAATCCCTTACCACTACGCCACTAGAGTTTCTTGTAAAAATGCAAGTACAATTATATTCAAAACTGTATTGAACATACATATTTTATAACAACAAAGTTAACAAAATTATTCTAAAAAAATAGTGTAAATAATAAACATCCATATGATAGAATATTACAGTCATTAAATTAGGTACGAAAATTAAAATGGAATAATGCTAAAGGTCTATTATTAAGTGGAAAAGGCAAATTACAAACTATTAGGTACAATATGATCCTTTGTTTGTGAAAAACATATACACATACATAAAGACTGACAGAACAGAAGCCAAACTGCCAGCTGTCATTGAAAATTAAAGGTATGGGCAATACGTACTTCCTTCTTTTTTGATATTTGTTAAGTTTCCCATAATGATTCTATACTCAGGTAAGAATAAGAATAAATTATGGGTTTCCATGGCATGCTGTTGGGAGCTCTGGTGGTGTAATGCCTAAGGCACTTGACTGCTAACTAAAAGGCTGGCAGTTCAAACCCACCAGCCACTTCTTGGAAAGAAGGTTGGGCAATCTACTTCTATAGTGATACTGCCTCAGACACCCAAGGAGGGGTTCATTATGAGTCGGGTCCGACTCGACAGCACATAACAACAACAACAATAACAACATGGCATGCTGTACTGGGTCTATTTCAAATGTAAGGTGGCAAAATGAATAGCCTAATGACATTAACCAAAACCAAACTAACTGCTATCATGTCAATTCTGACTTATAGTGACCCGTTAGGACAGAGCAGAGCTGCCTCATAGGGTTTCCAAGGCTGTAGATCTTTACAGGGGAGCTCTGGTAGCGTAGTGTCTAAGGCACTTGGCTGCTAACCAGAAGGCTAGCGGTTCAAACCCACCAGCCACTCCTCGGAAGGAAGATGGGGCAATCTACTTCTGTAGTGATACTGCCTGGGAAACCCAAGGAGGGGTCGCTATGAGTTGGGTCCAACTTGACGACACCTAACAACAACAAATCTTCACAGGAGCAGAGTGCTCCATCTTTCTCCTGCAGAGTGGCTGGTGGGTTCAAACTGCTGACCTTATGGTTAGCAGCCAAACGCTTTAACCACTACACAACCAGAGCTCTTTCTAAAGACATTAGATGGTTAATATACCTTAGTATGGTTCAAATCATCACTTGACTATGTAAAACAGAAAAAGTGAAACATGGAGGCTAGAAAAGTGCCTATCATTCTCCTAAAACTTAAAAATAAATCATAGTATGCAAGCAACTATAATGAATTGAGGAGAAATTCTAAAACATACTTACTTTAGTCCAAGACAACGTCTCCAAACCAGCTTTCAGACAAACGGTTACAACTACATACTATGCAGGGTAGATGGGAAGGAGAAAGAGATTAGAAAATTGTGTTAAAATTTCCCACTAGAATCCACGTCTCCCCATTCCCTTCCTCACCCTCCACCCAGTTCCTCTCCACATCTGTTGAACTCTGATGTTATCAGCTTGCCATGTGTTTTGCTAGGGTTTTGTTCTGGAAAGCATGGAGCATACAGTGATTTTTAATAAAAGCTCCATGTTGAAGAGCCCTTTAGCGTGCACTAAAATCCCATGCCAATGTCTTAAGCTCTGATATTTACCTCCTTTATAAACAGCATAGGAGATTTGATTCTACCAAGAAATCTGAGTGCTATTGATCAAAAACCCAGAAAGCGTTGATTGAAGCCATTATAAAACTAAGAGTTTCTTAACCATTCTCAGCCTTTTGCATTTTTATATGTATTTTAGAAAGAGTTCATCAAGCTGCTATGGGTGCTGATTGAGATTAAAATGAATCTATAAATCAAACTAGAGAGAATTGACTCTTCCTTATAGTATTGAGTCTTCCACTCAATGAATATGCTACATTTCTCAATTTAGAGTGCCTAAGGCATTTGACTGCTAACCAGAAGGCTGGCGGTTCAAACCCACCAGCAATTCCTTGGAAGATAGGTTGGGCAATCTACTTCCATAGTGATACTGCCTTGGAAACCCAAGCAGGGGTTGCTATGAGTTGGGTCCAACTTGATGGCAGTGAGTTTGGCTTTTGGTAGTGTTCAGTAAAGTCTGACAATTTTTCTCAAAGAGTTTTTGAACATCATTCGCTAGACTTACTCATGTCCTTCATATGTGGGATGCCAATGTACAATAATTTCTCTAATTTTCTTTGGTTTTCTAATAATTTCTTACTGGTATGTAGAAATAGGAGCTCTAGTGGCATAGTGCCTAAGGCAGTTGACTGCTAACCAGAAGGCTGGCAGTTCAAATCCACCAGCCACTCCTCGGAAGGAAGATGGGGCAATCTACTGCCGTAGTGGTACCACCATGGAAACCCAGGGAAGGGTCACTAGAAGTTGAATCAACTCCACAGTAGTGAGTTTGGTTTGGTATATATCCATATATATATATATATATATATATATATATATATATCCTTAAATCATCTATAATTTAAAATAAGATTTTTTTTCCATTTCCACGGCTTTTATTTATCATTTCTCCTTGTCTTGCTACCCTGATTTGTAACCCACTGCAACACTGAAGAGAAGTGGGCATATTGAGCATTACTATCTTATTTCCAATCTCAAGAGAAGCTTCTAATGCTTTATCAAGTTTAACTTTGTTGCAGGGTGGGTTTTTCCGCAGCCATAGTTAATGTACTTTTACACAAATAACATGCACCTTCTATGCATGTTTGCGAATGGTTCCCTTCCCCCCACCTCACTGAAGGTATTTTCCAACTGTTCCTTCCCCAATGAGAGGTATTTTCATAAGTGTCACTATGCCAATTTTTTTTTTTTACATGTTGCTGTAAAAAGAAAAAAATTACTATAGTATGTTTATAAAAATACCACCCAAGGTAAGGGAGCAGTTGGCCAACAAGCATAGAATATGTGTGTTATTTGTGTAAAAATACAGCAAATGCTAAAATGAGTGTTCAATCTTTGATTAGCTCCACTTCTCAATCTCCAGTATCAGTGTTCTAGAAAGACTTCACTATCTCATCTAAGCCATTCCAAAACCCTTTACTTTACAGTCACCAGTGACCGACCCCTACCTCCCTCTCTCCAAGTTCACCTCTGCCATTACCCTCAGGCTTCCTTGCATAGCGTGCTTTGTGCTTTTGTTGCACCGGCTTTTTAAAATTCCCTCAAAGCTCCAGGGTTGACTCCACCTTACTGGAGGTTTAGTCCATTCCTTCATAAGGCCTATCTTTCCTTCTAACTCTTAACACTGGTATCAGCAGCATGTCAGGGAAGTTGGGTTAGTTATCTTGCCACACTGAGGCTGCCAATTCTCCTTGTGTTGTATCTTTAAGGAAACATTTTGAGGTTTTAAGCATTGGTGTATTCCCCTTTTCTTCTTTAGTTGCTATGCTGAATTATTACACTGTAATTTTTTATTGTTGGATTTTTAATTTTTGGTTATTTCTTTAAGCCTTGGGAGACTGAGATTCCATGAGATCAATTTAATCTGGCATCTTAACTAGGAATCTCATGCATGTGTATATGTATGTATGTATGTAAAGTCCTTCTATCTTTCTAGAATGTAACTGTTATAAGGACTCACTTGAATTTAGCACTATATGTCCAATACTCAACACAGGATTAGATACATGACAAAGCTCATGTTAAGTGAAAAAGTAAGGTGTAGGAGAATATTCCTCCTACTTGTGAAAAACAACAAAAAAACAGGCAAGGGTAACATACTTTTCTGCATATCCTTTACACTTCCAGAGATACATGTGAGAAACTGCCACACTGCTAATTAGTTTCTTCTGAGGAAGACCACTGGAGTGCAAGGAAGGTTTAACATTCATGGGATACCATCTTATAATACTTTATTTTTAAATTAAAAACTAGAAACATTGATTTAATTCACATGGTTGATCTTACCATATAAATAAAATTTCCAAGAAACAAATAGTCTGTAGTGTGACCACCTTGTAAGACCATATCTGAAAAGCAAAAAAGTCAATTTTAAATTTATAGAGTTTGAAGAAGAGATGTGGAATTTATTTTTACCAAAGGAACGCATGCTGCTCACTGAAATATTTTAAAAAATATTTTCCTGTGTTTTAGGTCAAAGTTTACACAACAAATTAGGTTCCCATTTAACAATTATTACGCAAATTGTTATACAACCTTAATTACAACCTTCACAGGTCAGCATTCTCATTTTTCCCATTCTGTTGGTCGAGCTTCCCTGCCCCTCCTGGCCTTCTTATCTTTGCTTTTGACAAATAATGACTGTTTGGTCTAATATAGTTCGTTGACTGTTTAAGGGAACCGATTACTCATGAGTAACACTGTTTACTCTATAAGCCAATCTATTATTTAGCCAGGGTGCTTTAGGGTGATGGTAATGGGGGTTCTTTTAGTCTCTACCTGTCTAGTAAGTCTGGATTTTTTTTCAGGAATTAGAATTTTCTTCTATATTTTTCTCTCATTCAGGACCTTCTACTGTGTACCCAGACAGAATGGTCAGTAGTGGTAACTGTGTACCATCTAGTTCAGGTCTCAGGCTCAAAGAAGCTGTCCTTCATGTTGATTATTACAACAGTGCACTAGTTTTTTTCTTTGAGCCTTTGGTTACCTTCATACTCTTTTGCTCCAGATGAGTAGAGACTAATAGTTGTTATCTTCAATGGCTCAGATGCTACTCACCAAACAAGGATGTAAAACATACTTGTGAACTATGTTATGCCAACTGACTACATACAGCTCTAAGCCTTTTAACCCAGTAAACCAATTCCATGAAGTGTTTGGATATATCTAGGAAGCTCTGTAACTAGCCTCTTATGTACTGTATTTTATATATATATATGTGTGTGTGTGTATATATATACATACACACACACACACACACACACACACACA